GAGTTTACTCTTTCCCTAAATGTTTATTTTGTGTTGTAAATCACATATTACTAGGCGTTTCAACGGTTCCTAACTTGTTTTTGGGTGTGAGTGACGTTAGCCAAAGTTAGCTGAACACAAGAAACTTTGCGTTTATTTTTCGATTGAAATCGCTTTATTATATGGTTGTGTACTCGGGTATACAAAATATTAATATCTGTACTCAGCGCAAGGGATTTAATCAGAACAATTAGCTGTTTGTTTGCAGATTAAGATTTTTTCCCCCTTAGGCATTCAGTTGAGTTTTGCATGAATGCGCCCTATGGAGAGTGAGAGAGAGACGCACAAGTACCTATACACTTCTGTGTCAATAGTACAACATAAACTAACGTTACTGTTTTTATTCCACATATCTTTAACGTATAACGCTTAATTTTTACCATGCAACCTGTGAAGGAGAAAGAGTGTCCGTGGCTGTGATAAAATGCAGCAGGTTTCTCTCAATGCAGCTTGTGTATCTGCACCATCACTCATTTCTCTTCACACATGTTGTGCGTTTATTTACACGCGCTGTTTGTCTGAAATGCACGTAGTTTATAGTCAGGCTCTAATCTCCCTCTGTTCCGATACGGAGAGGCTTGAATTCCCCCTCACACACAAATACACAGTATCCGTCTGTATTAATTTCATGAAGTGCACGAAAGCTCGTGCTATTGACATGCAAACACGCGGCTCTGTTTGTCTTGTAACAAAGAGGGACGAGCAGCCGCAAAATCTGCCGCAATGTTATCCAATATCAGCTTTGTTTGCGCTGGTATTCTCTCAGCGCGTTGCTAAATCACCCTGTGAGTCACCGGATGAACTAGTTTGGTTTGACTGATCACAACTCCACATTCCGACACACAACCCCAGAAACCACACTTTAGATTGGGGTTTGGTTTTGACTTTTCCAGACGCACAACTGAACTTATGCCAAGTTCACGACAGGACTTGTTTTTGTCTTTTTTATGTTCAATATGGAGTTAAATTTTTGTTTGTTAGTTTTGTTTTATTATAGGAGAAAGCGCGTTTTAAAGGGATAGTTCTTGCAAAAATGAAAATTCTGCCATTTATTCAACAGAGAATATTTTTTGAACAATGAAAATAAAACACATTTTTCAAATTATGCTCTTTTGTGTTTCACAAAAGCAAATCTAGAATAGCTGTGGAATGGCTTGAGGGTAAGAAAATGTTAGAATTAAAAATTTTGCAAGAACTATTTCTTTAATCTTAGTTTTAGTATGTAGACACTGATGAGCTACCAAACTATTGAAGTTCTTACATCTACAGTAGGGCTTTTTCTTCTCTTATATACGTAAATGGCACAGATGTGTTTCCTTAAGAAGTCTTCTTCTTGGTCCTTTAGTGTCTCCGTGTGAGAATTCTCATGAAGCTGTGTGCTCTGACACCAAACAGTGAGGTGTTAGTTCCTCCTGCAGTGATACAGCCTCATATTTGTGTATCTGGACTCATTCTGCTCTGTTTACCTGAACTTTGCTCTTCTCTTGCTGTAATCTGTTCTCCTCAATCCACTCAAAAATGAGCTGAAACCGCAAGGACAACTTCATCCTTCCTTTTTTTCCCCCTCTGACACACATTTCTTTGAACACACACATGGATTGGACTAGGTGTAAAATCTCTGCTGCGCTCAGCTGAATTTGCATACTGATTTGGCAATGCAAATGAGCAGCTCAGGGTGATGTGGTGCCAGTCGTGTATTTGTAACGGTAAATACTCAGACTTAATGCGTAGGGAGGGAAATTTGTACAGCTACACACAGCGTCTGCTATCTCTCCTGACCTCTGCTTTACATCAGATTGATATGGGTTTTTTAATGCCTGATACTGATGTCTAGACAGCAGGGTGATATAATGCCATTTTAAACATGTATATTTAATGAATAATATTTATTAAAATCCTATTTATAAATTTATTCATTTGAAAAATGCATTAGCAGAGATTGAGCTGAGAAGGTTAGACAGATGATAGTATTTTAGGTATTTCATTAAGCATGACTGTTATTATTGTGGAGTGTTCAATGCGTAAATAAAGCGCAGACTTTTCAATGCAGCTTCACACTTTTCTGCTGGATGAAAGAGAGATGGCGTGTGGAGGTTTGGAGGTGAAATGTGGGAACGCTCTCTCAGTTGTCGTCTTGTAAGAGTTCTCATGACAGCTGTGCACAAACGCTCATAACTCGAATGGATCGTGTGTGTTTGCAGCTGTTGTCATGGCAAAGGAAAACCAACACCCTTATGTCTCCCTCGTCACCCTTTCTGTTCCCCGCACAAGACAACTGCTCTCCCTCCCTCTCCCCACACCGTTCGAGTGTGTGTGTCAGGCTGACGAGAGAAAGACCGGTTTGCAGCATGCTTGTGATCTTCAGAGGTGACCCTGCGGGTGTTTTTAGAGCTGTCTTTGATAAGACAGTGGCAGCTGAGTCCAGTGCCAGAGCTCAATGCAGGCTGTGTTCAGAAATGGACACAGCGATGGAAGGAACGAGTCAAGGTTAAAGATCTTGTGAGGCACACCCATGCTTAATAGTTTTTGTGCTTTTTTTTTCTAAATGAATATAAAGTTTAAAAGAACAAACAGAATCTTTTGTAACTTTATAGATGTCTTTACTGTTACTTTTATTAAATTGAATGCATCCTTGAATAAATGAGTATAAATTTTTCAACAACAAAAAATCTTACTGACCTGATTTTTTTATACAGCTGAATTTATTATACAGTCCTCTAGAATAAATATAAATCTAGATTCTGATTGGTCAGTAGGGCCTTTCGCACCGCTTTAGTTCCAGAACTAAATGTACAGTACTAAAGTACTGGGACGATTTTGCGCGGTGTTTTAAATCATGGCGGGTGAGGGCGGGTTTGTACGCGGTT